TAACTTTACAAAATTGTACTTTATTGTACCTTCTAACTGTTCTACGATATACATTTAGGTCTCCGATGTTAACGATGATATTAGGAGGGCAGCAGTCACCGCCCTGGGATTCCTTCTGTTCAGGTGAGTTTAGTTGCCTTTCACAGCCTATTTAGTTCAAAAATTTACTTTCTTTACTTTATTTTGACAGATTGATATCATTCATTTAACGATTTTGCCTTTTTATACTGTAAACTTATTCTATATCTAAATTTTATCCTTCATTTTCTCATATTTAGTATTCCACATCCCTCTTGTCAGTTTTTTCTACTTTTCTTTCGCGTGAATATGTCAAAATTTCAAAATTACGTTATGTTTTCTATTTATTTAACGTTTCAACTCGAAATTTCATAACAATAACTGAAACAGTGTAAAATTACACCCTTAATGTACTCGAATAGGTAATTTTGCATTACCTAATTTTTTTTATGAATGTACATACATGAAATAACCCACTTCTGAACATTTTGTGATATACGAGGCATCAGAGCAGGAACCTTTTCAATGCATATCATAATCCGATCGTAATTAGACACAAAAGGAAAATAATACGGTCTCGGGATACTTTCGCCGGCACATAATAAACAGCTTATTGTCCCCGATTTATAGCGCCGGAATACACCCCATTGTATACGTTTAACCAATAGAATTTAAGTGACATTATTACTTATTAAAGTTAACGACGTCATTACCAAATTGTATCTCTCGGGGGGCGAGACAGTAATTGGCATAATCAAGTTTAATAGCCGCTGTTAGTGTCGCCCCCCGTCACAAATGGCGCTATAAAAGAATACATTTTGTTTTATTTATATTTATAATTAGGCGTTACACGGGGAAATGCAGTAATAAAGAGGCGACTGAAAAATTTATTGACTGCTGCCGAATTGAATGCATCCGGTAGGTTGAGAGTTCATAAAGCACTTTTTACTGCTGGAAATGTTCGCTGTTGCGTGTAAATTATTGTGTAGGTCGATGACGTTCGGAAGATAACGAGAACGATTATTTTTACTTATCTGCACTTTTATTTGAACTCCAAAGAAAAGTTTTATTGATTAGAAATGTTGTAGTCGACTGCTGTTGCAAAGGGAAGCTTAAAAAATTGCGTTTCTGAGTATACAGGGTGTAAAAAATAGGGCACCAGACTACAGGAGGCGATAGTACCGATCAAAAAAAGAAAAACAGTTTTTATGAACACACGATAGCGATATATTAGTTTTATTGACATTTTGTATTCTGCCATAAATGTTTATGACAGAAACCTTAACCGGTTGGTTTTGAAAAAAATATATTTAAGTAGATTCGGCATTTTTAACATAAAGATAGGAAAAACGTAGACTTTTTACGTGCACAAGGTGTCGATTGCGTCTATTAGTCCGGTCAAATTAGTTACAAAAATAGTGGTCAAATAACGGAAATTCCGACAGAGCTAAATTTTGGTGGAGACCTTGGGTACACCATTAGAAATAAAGTGTCAAAAGTCTCCATTGATCCCATGTGTGCTAAAAAAGTTATTCGGCGTCAAAAGTCAAAATTTGAGGTTTATTGGATTTTTTTTGAAAACGGTAAGTTTTATCAAAAACATAATATATAAAAATTATAGATCTTAAAATTATCTACAAAAATGGTTCTTATACTCTTTTTCCTAAGAATCACCATTCCTGAGATATCGCGATTGTAAAAGTTGAAGGAGTCACTTCTACATGATATGCACATATATGCCACGTATATACATAGTCAGGCACTTAATATAAGTAAAAATGCCTATTTCCGTCTCTTATATGTATAAACTATACTATTCTGAGAATATACACTCAAAAGAAACTCAGTCCCTTATTTAATCCCTTTTACCCTCATGGCCTTGAGTAACACCTGGCTACTCTATTGTAAAAACTTTTGTAAAAAATACACGAAACTAGAAACAAAGTACAACTATCTTGTCTTACTCCAACATCGGCTTCTGCTAATCAACACTTCTATCGAGTATACTATCAAGTTCAGACATGGCTAGGAAATCAACTGAACCCAGAAGACTGAGGATGGAAATTAACAGATAATACTTTGGGACCGATTCAAACTTTATTCCCACCTGCTCCGGAAAAAACACTATTTTTTGCAATTGCAAAAAAGGTTGTAGTGCTAAATGTGGCTGTAGAAGAGTAGGGTTACTGTGTTCTCCAGCGTGTACTAATTGCCAAAGCCAGTCTTTCTCAAATGTCCAATTGAAGACAACAGACGAAGATTCATGTGATTTCGACGAAGAGACAGCTGATTCATCTTCATTTGAACAATTTATGAAAATTCAGCAAGAAGGAAAGGAAGAAGAAGAAGAAGTAGAAATCGACTGTTGAAGTCAACTTTGAAAAGTATGAATCAGATTAAAATATCAAAAGAAATCAGAACTACAGTTAAAGTCAATAACCAATATCAATAATCATCATGCAGTTAAAAGAGTATTGTCCCTGAAAATTCTGTCATAACAGTTCGTGGAGTAGGCCTACCGGAGAAACCACGTTAAAAAAACGCGCCAAAGTACACTACCTCACAGGTGTTGTGGAAATGTGTGCATATCATGTAGAACGTGACGCCTTCAACTATTAGAATCGCAATATCTCAGGAATGGTGATTTTTAGAAAAAAAAGTGTAAGGGCTATTTTTGTAGATAATTTTAAGATCTATAATTTTTGTAGGGACTACTTTTTTGATAAAATTTACCGTTTTCGAAAAAAAATACAAAAAACCTAAAATTTTGACCTTTGACCCTGAATAACTTTTTTTAGCACACATGGGATCGATGGGGACTTTTGACACATGATTTCTAATGGTGTACCCAAGGTCTCCACCAAAATTTAGTTCTGTCGGAATTTTCGTTATTTGAAATGTCTATTTTGACCGGACTATATTAAAAATACCTTAGTTACTAAATCTTGACTCATCTCCAAACGATTTTGCGTAAAAACTTTGGATCTTCTCGTGTTCGCGTTAAAATCATTTCACAGAATTGGGTTCGTCTTTCAGCAGTACATGAAGTACAAGTACAAAATTGATTTTAAATGGATGGTTTCCAAAGTCTTTTGGATGAAGGTTTTTGAAATGCTTAAATCCTGTTCAGCAGCACGAACTGATGATTCAGGGTAAGCATAAAAATATGCCAAAACATTGACGATGTTTACCTTCATCTAAAGTTATCAGCTTTGGCTCTATGTGCAGAAATTCGACAATTTTCTATATGATTCTTAAAACTCTTTGTTAAATGTGTCTATTCATTGGTGGTAAATGAGGATATCTCTCATTAAATACCCTGCATGTCCTATTCATTATCTTGTGACACCCTCCACGAATAAAGAATAAATTTAGAACGTCAGCATTTGAATAAATGTTAACGTTTTCCATTTTTTAACAATAAATAATACTCAAATAAACATTCACTGTATGTGTTAAATTGACACCAATAAACTGGTGACAGATTGGGTGCTTGTTTTGAAGTTCCACTAAAAATTTCACAGCCATCCTCGCAAGAAAATGCGATATCCGTTGACTGCACGAAAAACAGTAAATACCTTAAAAACCAGAAGAGATGGGTATAGGGAACCGTTATATCATTCGAAAGAGAACAAAATTGTTCCCCAAGATGCGCAAAAATATACAGGGTATTCCATTTAAAAAATAAGTTAAGATGGTTTAAAGTTGATAAAGTTCGGGATTAAATTTCTACCACCCTGTATGAAATTAAGTCATTTTGAAATTATGGCAGGGAAGCTTAGAGTTTTAGTTATGTCCCCTATAAATTTTATCGCTCTAACTTTATTATTGTAAAATACACATCTTTTTGAGTTGGGCAGTGCTTTTTGAATTTTTTTTTGAAAAAAAATTAAATAAGTATAAGTATCAAAAACGGTTAACTTTAAGAATAGGCAAACTTTATGAAAATTCACCTAAAACTTATATACAGGGTATTCCATTTCCAGAAAGTTGTTCGAAAGATGGCGCTAAGGGTCTTAACTCAAAATTAAAAATTTTTCTGATTGTTTCAAAAATAAACACCGTAACCGTAGGGAGAAAGAACACAATTCTTTCTCCCTGCAAAATAGTATTATTGTAAACTGGAAAATTATTCGAAAGATGGCGCTAACTACATAATATTTTTGTGAAGCCATAATAAATTGGAAAAAATTTCTAAATTTTCTTTTGCATCTTCTGTAAAATTGAAATATTTTGATATACGACAGTTTTTAACGAGATGTGCGAATTATTGAAAAAAATTCCAAATTTTGCATTATTTTTTTTATTGTGGCGAGAATGATGTTCCACAAAATTTTTCATCCTAAGATTTCTAGACTAGAATCTTCAAGATTCAAGATGCTTTTTATTTTGTCAATACGATCATTATTCACGAAGTCAAAAATCTCTAAAAAAAAATTTGGAAATTTTTGTGCTCCCTTTTTTTGCTCAGTTTATAAACAAGGATAATAGTATAATAAATAAGGGGCCACAAAATAAGTATCCGCCCTCTGCCAGTTCATGACACTGGAAACAATCCGTGTAGATATGTCAGGAGCATCGGCTTCTTGCACCTACAAGATACAAGAGAAGATACAATTGTATTTTAATGCTTATTTAAACTACAATCGTCATACCCTGTACTGTTGTAGTGATAAAACATGAAAGGAAACTTTTTATTTCGGGGATTGTAAGTGGAGGAAAAATTTGACGAGGGAAAATGCCTCATCGTCCACCGAAGCCTGGGCATTTCCAATTTGCGCGACCCCTTTTAGTGGAAAAGTTTTATTTTGATTCTAAGGGGCGTTAGGGGCCTTTGAAGTATAATACGTATTTACAAAAATAAAAAAAATCGCACTCGTGCTCGAAGGCCCCCGTTAATACCCGACGTATGAGATAGGGAAGGGTTCTTGAGCCGGGATCACCGCCGTCGAATAATTCCTTAGAGAATAAATATAACTTACAATGGACATTTAATCTCCACTTGTCCTCGAGCGCGCTATCGGGAATGGACGGGTTCTCCGCTCGACAGGTCAAGTATTTGCCGTCGTCATCGATCACTGGGACGAACGTCAAAATGCTCAGGCTCTGATTGTTCTGCTCCGAGAACTGAAACAAACACACTTTTTAATAATGCAATAAAGTCTTTTAAAAAATAAAACATATTTTTCAATAAAACCTCTTTATCCATTTATAATTTTCATTTTTCGAACCTCTATATTACAAATATGAGCGAGTTTGATTTAATATCGATAATTGTTAAATAAATTGTTTAAAATAGTCGGCCATATTGGATCAGCCATTTTGAATTTTCATTTTCCGACATCATATTCTTGTTCAGCGACATCGAAAACCCATATACTGTCAATTTGAAAGAATTCGATTTAAAATTTATTGAATTATTTTAAATGTTCTTAAAAAAACTATGTATTATTGTTTAAACAATTAAAAAACAATTAGAGTGCAAAAATAAGTTTATAACTTTTTTCTAATACTTATCTCCAAGTAATTTCAAAAGATTTTAGGAAAAATCCATGCTTCCCATAATTATTTCGAAATAATGCGTAATTTTAAGCTGTCTTGACTCCACTATAACGTGAAGTTAATAAATTAGTTTAAAGTTCGGGGATAAGTGGCTCTTAACAGAACCGGACCCAGCCTAAACATGAACACGTCAAAAATTCATTACAACGGGATAATATTGATATTAAATAGTACGTAGGTGGTCTTCTTAAAAACAACTCACTACTTTTCTCATTTCTGGAGCGACGTTTCGACGTCTATTACTGTTTAATTGAAAAACTTATCTTAGAAATAAATTATTTTTCGTACATAAAGTATTGCCTTTCTGCAAACAGCAGAGAACGCATAGTGTGTATAGTTAATGTAGCGTAATGTAATATATGTAGCACAGCAACGCTGCACAGTAATTGAAAAGTAACGTTGTAAGAGAGGGTTAAATTCGGTTTGAATGTGCGGCATTCACTTTTTGTGTATTTGGATAAGAAATCACCCTAATCACCAGCCGCCTTCCCTTTGTTGAGAGCGTCCCATTCAATATCGCATGAAAGCAGGAGATTTGTAAAGAATTTCTAACCTAGCTGAAAGAACGGCGACGGAACAGCGAGCGTAACAAACGATTTTAAACAGAGAATTTTTTAAAAGTTAATGAGCCCTGAAATACTGTTCTTATTACATTAAATTAAGGAAATGTATAGGCCACTTTTCATACCCATTTAAGGAATTAGTTTAAGAAATTTCCCCTCGTTTTTTTGCAATTTTACCCGGGTTTAATTTATCTTCCTTACAACCAGAAGTAGCTTTTGCTCTTTGTGTTATTAAATAACCCACTGGTTTTTAAATTGCGATTATAAATTTTACCCTTGCAGATTAATATCGAAGCCCCGGGATGGTTTAATATTGCATCGAATTTTTCGCAGATAATATGCCCGCTATTTACGTTTTACAAAATTGCGCCTCTCATTATCTTCCTCGTTATCTGTTTATAAGGGAATACTTGAAAAAGTTAAAGCAAATTTAATATTTTTAAATACGGGGGAGCTGTAAGCTTCAGGAGGATATTTAAATCGACGTCCGACAGAAATATATTTGACACATAAGCATTTCGGGCGTTATTTGATGACATTGTTCAATTCGCCGACAAAGATCCTCAAATGAGTTTGGTCGTGTTTCATAAATTTTAGATTTTAAGTGTCCTTAGAAAAAATCTAAGGGCGTTAGATCTGACGATCTGGTAGGCCACTCTGCGTCTTATCCAGTGATTTGGAAAGTTCTGATTAAGAAAATCACGCGCAGATATGTGGTGGAGCATCATCCTGCGCTGAAGAATGTTGTCAGATAACGCCCGAAATGCTTCGAAATATTCGTTCCGAAGTGGAGCAAAGATTTTATTATTGTATGGAAGTGGAGGAAAACCAATTTGAACATGTAATAAAATAACATTCTTTCATTCATTGATATTTTGTCTTATTCTTTAAGTGATTTTATTGTCATATTGGGAAGTTTTAATAGGAACATCCTGTATATAGAAAATTTTGTATACCTATAAGACTGATGTAAACAATATATCACGGTAATATAAGAACAATATAGTAACATTGAATAAATAGTCATATGTCAAATAAAATCCATTTTAATGGAATTAATATATCCCCAAAGTTTGTTTAGATAAGTGGTGTATAGTTCACCCCTCAAAAACTTCTCATATTATCCTTTGTAGACGTTAAAAAGTGAAACGTATTTTTAAGGGAAATATTTATAATGAGTTTTATATATCTCATAACAAAGAGTGGTGTAGAGTTACAATAACTAACGTGTAAAATACCCGAAAAATATTCTGTGTAATTATAATTCACCTTAATACAATTTCACAAACAAAGTACTTATAAAAACCTTGGGTAAAACCGTGCAGTTACTCAGAATAATGTAATTCTACTGTAAAATTACAATTGCGTAAAATATTCTGTGAGATTACATTCCACTTAATGTAACTTCACTTATAAAAGGGCTTATATGTAAACTCTGATAATGTCATACAACTAAGATTATAATTTTGCTGTAAAATTACAATTGCGTAAAATATTCTGTGAAATTACATTCCACTTAATGTAACTTCACATATGAAGCGCTTATATTTAAACTCTGATAACGCCATACTAAGATTATATATAATTCTACCGTAAAATTACAATTACAACTTACAAATTATAATTACAAAAAATTCTATAGAAACTGTAGGTTTCTTTTAGTAGTTCTGTCCGCTATGAAATTATCTATTATTTGCATTAGGTAACTTAACATATAATGTATTTTGTAAGTTGATAAAACATTTGTATTTTCAACTGTAAAAAAATATACTAAAATTACAAGGTAAAATGTAATTCCACAAAAAATTGGATACGAATTTTGAAATCGAATTTAAATCTCATTACTTTACATTTATTAGTATGCAGCGCTATTCTGTTACATATATTACATTACACTACATCAGTTATATATACAATACATGTATTACTTGCTATTTGCAGAAAAACAATAAATTTCTTACTTTACGTATGAAAAAGGTTTTTATAGCAGTTNTGTTATGTAAGACATCGAAATTTTCACACCGTTGTTTAGATAATTATCACTGTCATCAATTTCGAACGAAAAAAATATGCGTTGTCATTTAAAAAAAAATTATGTCATCCCTGCCGTAAGTGGATTATCGAAAAAAAAAATTTTCCACATAACAAGGTGCCCTGGATCAAATAAAAATCGACGGGTCTCACCGTTTTTCGAAAAAAAAAATTGTTCAACGAAAATATGAATTTTATGCAGAACTTTTTTACCACGCTGTATATTTGGCACATAAGCATTTCGGGCGTTATTTGATGACATTGTTCAATTTGCCGACAAAGATCCTCAAATAAGTTTGGTCGTGTTTCATAAATTTTCGATTTTAAGTGTCCCCATAGAAAAAATCTAAGGGCGTTAGATCTGGCGATCTGGGAGGCCACTCTGCGTCCTATCCAGTTATTTGGAAAGTTCTGATTAAGAAAATCACGCACAGATGGACGCAGGATGGTGGAGCACCATCCTGCGCTGAAGAATGTTGTGAGATAACGCCCGAAATGCTTCGAAATGTTCGTTCCGAAGTGGAGCAAAGATTTTATTATTGTATGGAAGTGGAGGGAAACCAATTTGGACACTTAATAAAATAACATTCTTTCATTCATTGATATTTCGTCTTATTCTTTAAGTGATTTTATTGTCATATTGGGAAGTTTTAATAGGAACATCCTGTATATAGAAAATTTTGTGTACCTATAAGACTGATGTAAACAATATATCACGGTAATATAAGAACAANAAAAAAAAATTTTCCACATAACAAGGTGCCCTGGATCAAATAAAAATCGACGGGTCTCACCGTTTTTCGAAAAAAAAAATTGTTCAACGAAAATATGAATTTTATGCAGAACTTTTTTACCACGCTGTATATTTGGCACATAAGCATTTCGGGCGTTATTTGATGACATTGTTCAATTTGCCGACAAAGATCCTCAAATAAGTTTGGTCGTGTTTCATAAATTTTCGATTTTAAGTGTCCCCATAGAAAAAATCTAAGGGCGTTAGATCTGGCGATCTGGGAGGCCACTCTGCGTCCTATCCAGTTATTTGGAAAGTTCTGATTAAGAAAATCACGCACAGATGGACGCAGGATGGTGGAGCACCATCCTGCGCTGAAGAATGTTGTGAGATAACGCCCGAAATGCTTCGAAATGTTCGTTCCGAAGTGGAGCAAAGATTTTATTATTGTATGGAAGTGGAGGGAAACCAATTTGGACACTTAATAAAATAACATTCTTTCATTCATTGATATTTCGTCTTATTCTTTAAGTGATTTTATTGTCATATTGGGAAGTTTTAATAGGAACATCCTGTATATAGAAAATTTTGTGTACCTATAAGACTGATGTAAACAATATATCACGGTAATATAAGAACAATATAGTATCATTGAATAAATGGGCATATGTCAAATAAAATCCATTTTAATGGAATTAATATATGCCCAAAGTTTTTTTAGAAAAGTGATGTATAATTCACCCCTCAACAACTTCTGATATTATCCTTTGTAGACGTTAAAAAGTGAAACGTATTTTTAAGGGAAATATTTATAATGAGTTTTATATATCTCATAACAAAGAGTGGTGTAGAGTTACAATAACTAACGTGTAAAATACCCGAAAAATATTCTGTGTAATTATAATTCACCTTAATACAATTTCACAAACAAAGTACTTATAAAAACCTTGGGTAAAACCGTGCAGTTACTCAGAATAATGTAATTCTACTGTAAAATTACAATTGCGTAAAATATTCTGTGAGATTACATTCCACTTAATGTAACTTCACTTATAAAAGGGCTTATATGTAAACTCTGATAATGTCATACAACTAAGATTATAATTTTGCTGTAAAATTACAATTGCGTAAAATATTCTGTGAAATTACATTCCACTTAATGTAACTTCACATATGAAGCGCTTATATTTAAACTCTGATAACGCCATACTAAGATTATATATAATTCTACTGTAAAA